CCGGTCCACTAAAATTGTGTGTCTCAGTTGCTCGCAGACTTGTGTTTGCAGTTGTCCTGTGTGTGGTGGCACTGAGTGAAATCACACTCATGATGCTTCCCCTGCAGGTTTGGTGAGTGTAACTCCATCCCAAATCATCGTTCTGTACCTGAGGACTTATCCCTGTTTCAATCCATTTATCAGTCCAGGCGAAGGCCTCTGCAGAGAAGTTTTCCCAGTGTCTTCTCCACCACTGCCACATTCTTAAAGAGAAGGGGTAATGATTCCACTCGTCTGCCGAGAAGTTTTCCTGTCAGCCTTTTCGTGTACTGCGGTGTCGGATCCTTTATTCATGCCACACGTCGGTAGCTGAGAAATCTGTGGAGTTCTATGGCGCCCTCTGCAAGCCGAGCTGACGCTAGGGGTGCTGATAGGAGCAGGCACCGCTAGCACTCCCGGGAAGGCTCCATCCATTGGTGGGGAGCAGCAACTGCTGGAAAGCTGGTCCAGCGTACCTGAACATTGTGATCGTTTGATTGAACAGACATTGCAAGTTGATGCAACTGTAATGGCAGCAAGCTGCAGGGCTCACCTACACAGAAGGAAATTTGAGAGGTAAAGCTACACAGCAGCCTCAATTGATCTGTGTTGAATCCTCCCTCCTAATCTACCAGCTAGCCCTTGGAGCAATGACACCCACAAAAATGTGGCACTCCTACCACTACCCTACAGTCGCAAAAACCCCTCGCAAGGTTGCGCGCCCATATAAGACCTCGGTAATCCTTTCGAACATTCATGTGAGCCTGGTAGCACCGCCAGCTCCTATACGACAACACGCGCAGCGCAAGGCCGTTAGTTTCCACGGTAGTGCGACCTCCTTGTTGCTAATAGCATCTTGCTCGACAGAAGACCTCGACGACGCATTGCGGGAGATCTCCGTCGGCGGCAGACCCCCTTTCCACGATCTCGTGCATTCTCTTGCCCACCAGTTCTCTCTCTCTCTCTCTCTCTCTCTCTCTCTCTCTCTCTCTCTC